GGGCTGTTATCAGAAAGACAATAGCAAGGGTGGGGGAGAATGTGGGGACACAGAACCACTGGTGGGAGGGAGAAATGGCACAGCTGCTCTGGAAAAGCCTGACAGTTCCACATAAAGCCAGACCCAGATCACCACGTGATCCAGCAGTGCCCCACAAGACGATCGAAAGCATATGTTCATACGAAACCTGTCCATGAATGTCCATAACAGCGTGTTCCTGATGCCGAGATGGGAAATAACCTAAATGTCTGTCAACCAAGGATGGACAAATAAAATAGCGCCTGTCCACACACCGAGACGCTTTGCCATCAAAAGGAGGGATTTGTACGACAGCGATGACCTGCGAAAGTATGATTCTACTTGGTGACAGCCAGAGACAAGAGGCCACCTGGCCTCCATTTCTAGGAATTACCCAGAATCAGCAAGTGACCGGGGACACGAAGCCGGGGGTTAGGATGGGGAACAGGCAGAGGCTCTCATGGATGGAAGGTTTCTGGGGAGATGGGACATTCTAGAATCACACGGTGATGACTATCAACACTGTGAGTGTACAAATGACTACGGTGGGGTGGGAGCTTTATGCCCATAAGAAAAGCTAGCCAGTGCGTGAGTGAGCACAGGGAGGCTTGCTGGTGGCATATGCTGGAACTCACATCAGATCTGGCCACCCACCGAGGGCTGGTGCTGGGCACTGTCACGTGGCCTGAATGCAGGAGCGAGGAGCAGTACTCCTGTCCCTCCGGGGCTGGCTGAGGAGGCTGGTCGGACACAGTACGCCCCATCCCACACGTGGGCCCAAGCTCCAGGTGAAAGGACCACGAAGGGGACGCACTGGTGTCTACCTACAGGTGAGCTGAACCTGCTAGGTAGACAGGCTTGCAATAAGCCATGGCCAGAGCCTCCCCTGGATCTGGAAGGGGAGCTCTGGGGTGCTGGGCGTGGAGACACCCGACTTTGCTGTGGTTGTTCTGAATCACTTCACACAGAAGATACCAGCACCCCTAAACACTCAGGCCTGAGGGCGTCCTGCCCCTCCAGGCCTGGCATAGTCTTCCCCCTGCACCAAGCCCACTTGCCCAATGTAAAGTGGATTTTCAGAGCTGGGGTCTGGCTAACTCTCTGTGCCAGAGTCTCCAAGGCAGTTTCATCGTGCTTGCACAAAATGTCCACACGCAACTTTGGAAGGGGGAAGGATTATACACCTGCTCACACAGAGGTTAGCGGCTGTACCCTCTCCTAGACATTTCTCCCTGCCACGTCCCTTCTCTGCAGCAAGATTAGCCATGGTCCCATCTCGAGGCCTCTCCCAGGCCACACGTTCCCTGGCACGTTGGTGTCTTCCTCTTTCTCCTACCCAGGAATAGCATGAGTTCAAATCCTGGCCCTGTCATGTGTTAGTTCTGCAAACATGGTGTCTCTGGGCCTTGGTTTCCTCATCTGTAAATTGGGCTTATAATGCCTTCTTCCAAGACTATGTGCACAGTGAGCAGGTTGCTACATCTCAGAGACTAGACCGTGTGGGGCACACAGAAGTCCCTTATAAGTCGTTAGCCATTATTTTGGGCCATCACAGAAGAACCACCTTTTGCTAGCAGAGAAGCCTTGGGGGTCTGGGCCAAACACCTTTCCTGGGGGACTTCCATTAACCAGACACCCTTGGTGTGCTCAGCATCATTCTGGCTGTGTTGTTAAGGCATCAAGTCCTAGCTAACTGGTCTACCCTCCCTGGCTGGAGGCTGCCTCAGACGCCATAGGTGTGCCTGTGTCTGGCAGCTCAGGGAGGCCTGTGCACCAAGGGAACCAAGACTGCTTCCTTGCCACAGCTACAGGACCAGACATTGGCTTCTGGAGCCAAAGCCAACATGTGCCCGCCCCTCCCCTCGCTCTAGTGGTTTGGTGGAAATGCCACTTAACCACACAACTCCATGTTGGACTGTGGTAGCGGACCCAGTCAGAGGCAGGCTCTTCCTGTGGGGCCGGGCTACCCTTACAGAGAGACAGGTGTTATCCCCAAGGCCTGGCCTTGTTCTACTTCAGCCTTAGGCGGGCTTCAGGGACCCAGGCCCCTGGCAAGGAGGGACCCCAGCCCAACAGGCATCTCACCTCTGCAGCATAAAGTACCTAACAAGTGTGCTGGGTCTACATGGTGACGAAGGTACAAGCACGACTGCTTCTTAGCATCCTCCAAGTGGACTAGGGGCCCCCCAGACAGAGCTCCCAGGGCAGGGTCTACTCAGTGGGGGGGTTGAGTGGAGACCAGGGGAGGATGACATGGACACTTCCAGAAGGGCCAGCCCTTCACTGTCCCTCCTGCTGCGAGACGGGGGAGCAGGACTCAAGCCACAGGGCCAGCTGCCGGGGTTACCTCTCCAGCCCAGACCCAGGCCCAGACCCAGAGCCGCGCCCCAGGCCCCCTGAGCAGGGCTTTTGGGGTCGCAGAGTTTCCCGCCCCATGCCAGGCATAAGGGCTGACATCTGGAGAGGAATCATGGGTCTGCCAGGCCCAGGGTGACAGCGCTCCTGTCGTTGGGTGGCCTGAATAGGAGCCTTGTCCCTGGCGCCTCACCCGCCCTCCCTCGTGCCAGTTCTAGTCAAATCTGGTCTCCTGGTCATGGAGGCCGCTCTCGGGGGAGCTGCGCTCACTTCTCAAGCTCCAAACATGCCTGCCTTAGTATACCTCAGCTGGAGAACAACCCCCTCGCCCCTTCCCCGCAAGGGGCATGGAGAGGCCCCAGGAGGAGGGCTGACCCTGGGCCCGGGGGTCCTCTATACAGAACTTCCTAGAGAAGAAGGTGCCTCTGTGGCTTCCTCCTGCTGCCCTGACTCACTCTGAAAGCAGGTCTATTGGAAGGTCCTGCGCCCACGGTGGCACCGGGGGGTCCCCACTGACTCCCAGGGCCACAGCGAGGGCCACAGCCTCCCCTTTGCCCCACGGGACTCCCAGCACCTGGCCACGACCGCCTGCTCAGGAAGGGGCTTCCACCGACCCGGGGAACAGAGAAAACACAGAAGTGCAGCACCAGCTTCAGTCTATTTGACTTGACTGTAAATGTCTACTCACTAGCTTTTTTTTAAGAGTGAGCTCTTCCTGCCCCTCTGGTGTCAAGGGTGTTTTCGTCCAGGAAATGAGCTAGGAGAGGACAGCTGCTGTTCACTTACATTTTTTGCTGTAAGATCTCCTTAATTGGCAAAGCTAAAGGTGGCAGTGGGACGAAGCGTCCCTGGCGCTGCAGGCCCTACGGTCGGTCTCGCAGTCCCTCAGCCTCCTGACCGTACAGGGCAGGGGTCAGGGACACCCTGGGCCCTGGGGGGAGGACCCTGGACGAGGGGCAGGCTCCATGGGGAGGCGGGCTCCCAGCCCTGCTGGCTGGCACATCCGGATGGTGGACATCTGTGGGCACCGGGGCATCCCCAGAGCAGGGCAGGGCAGGGGCGGAGGAAGTGATACCAGAAAGCAGGCCCAGACCCCAGTTTGCCACCGACCAGCAGAGCAGAGTGCACAAAGGCTCCTGAGGCGCTCTGGCCCCAGCCACCGCCTGCCTCGAAGCTGCCGGCTGGAGTCAGACAGACCCTCGGCCACATCTGCAAGCTGAGCACAACCCAGTGCCCTGGTTCTGGACAGGCCCCCGGAGGCCCTGGCCTGTGGCTCCACACGCAGTGAATGGCCACGGGCCTTGGCCTCCGAGAGGTGTGGCCGGGGCAGAGGCGACGCCCACGCGGGCAAGCTCCCTCAGTGGGAACCTCCCTCGTCTGCCGGCCGGTCGGTGGTGCCCTCTGGGCTGGTGTCCCCTCCTCGAGCATGAGGGGGTGTCCACAGGAAGCCGGGCTGGGGGTGGAGCCTCTGACAGCAGAGCAGGGCCTATGGGCAGCTGCGAGCCGGGTTCCTTTCAAACCCCGCAGCTGGGCCTGGTAAACACTGCCTCTCGCTGTCACTGGCCCTGTGCTCACCCCAGGCTCCTGTGCAGGAGTCTGGGCTCCTGAGGGCGGGCAGCAGACGGCCCTGGCTTTGACTGTCGCTCTCACTCCACCAGCCTGAGTCTCAGTCGCCTCGCCTGCAGGACGGGGCGAGAGGGAAAGGGACCAGGCTGGACAGGGGCCGGGCTCACAGCTCGGGAGAGGTCCGTGCTCAGTGACCTGCGGCCCCTCCCGCAGGAAAAGGGCAGGGCCTCTCTGCAAGCCCAGGGACACCATCGAAGAGGGGCAGGTGGGCTTCCCGTACCCCGGCACTGCCTGAGGCCCAGGGGACAGCCAGGCTGCAGAGCTGCAGAGGCGAGAGCCTCCTTCAGACATGGGTCCAGGAGGGAGTCTCAGACCCGAGCTCCAGCAGGCGGCCGGTTCCCGGGTGGACAGAGCCAGGGGCACATCACCCGCCTCCCAGGTGGGAAGGGGCGTTGGCACGGCACGGGGAGCCAGGCAGGGGAGAGGAGCTGCACTGGCTGGTGCTGACTTCCTCTGCCGCCAGGGCCCCGAATGCAACTTCTGGGTGAACAGAAAGGCCTTCCTTGGGGGAACCCACCCATCTTCATGGCTCCCCAAACGACGACTTCCTCCAGGGCCCCAACCAGGCACAGGCAGGGCCGCCTTTGGCTTTTCCACGAAGGGTTCCAAGACCGGAACCACCTCCTGAGCACCCACCATTCTGGCACCCCAAGTTTCAGAGAGCCTGGGCCCCCTTCTCCGTGCCCAGAACCCAGAGGACGCCGCGAGCACTGTGTGAGTGTGGCCAGGCCCAGGGCAGCTCTGGCAAGCTCCAGGGTGGCAAAACCTGAACACCGAACCCCGGAACCCCAAGCCCGGCACGTCCACACCGCGCCTCGGCCGGACGCCCCCACCAGCCTGGGCAGTGTGGAGCCGGTCACCCCATTCCGTGGCATTAGAACAACCGGCTCAGTTCCCGGGGCCAGGGCCCGCGCTGGCCGCCCGCTTCCGAGGCCTCAGCCATCACCTCTGGGCCGGCCCCGGCGGGCGGAGGGGCCGGGCGGTGGAGGCGCGATACTTACAGCACGCAGAGCGCGTACGCCCGGGAGATGGACTCGCTGGCGCGCACGAGGAAGCTGCCGTCCTTGCCGGTCCTGGAGAGCAGCTCCTCCGCCTTGGAGCGGGTGATGTTGCCGTGGTTCCAGCAGGGCACCATGGCGGGCGGAGGCGTCCGGGCCGGCTGGCGGCCACCCCGACGCGCACACCAGCCAGGGGAGCTGAGCCCCTGCACTCGGCTGCGGGCCCCACTCCGCCGCTGCTGCCACCAGCTGCCGGCTGACTTCCTGTTTCGCGCACAGCAAGGGAAAGGAAACGAGCCTCAGAGGAGCTTCCTCATTATAGCGGGCGGCAGCGCGGGCCTTCCCACCCCGCCCGTCCACTGTCCGCCGCCCCCTCCCTCGCCCTCTCCGCCCTCTCTCTTTCCTCTCGTGGGCCCCTCGGCCCCCCAGGGCAGGTGTCCTGGCTGGCTTCCGCAGGCGCAGGCCTTGCAGGTGAGCACCGGCCGTTATGGCCCAGCCAAGGCCTGTCGGGGCCCACAGGCCTGGCCGTGCCCTGGACAGAGGCTCAAACGCTGCACCTCCGCCAGGCCCAAGGATCAGAGGCTCACGCCCAGCTCCTGGCTGGCACCAGGACCCCGGCGGGCAGACCTGGGGGCGAGCAGTGCTGGGGCGTGCCCTCCAAACGCCTACTGGGAGCCACCCGGAGGACCCCTGGATCTGCGGCCCCTTGAACTCAGCCGCGGCCCCTTGAACTCAGCCCCAGCCCCTGGCGTGGGGGGAGGGCCTGAGCGCTTCTCCCCGGCGGAACCTTCTGCATCTTTCTAGCCCTCTGGGGAGCCCACACAGGCCTGACCAGGCTGGTCCTGTCAGTGCGGTTGGATGGCCAGTGGGGCCCCCCTGGACAGGGGCCAGGCCCACAGTCCAGGTGTTCAAAGGGCTTCTCCGCGGGAGCCACCACTTGGGCTAGAAGGTGGACACCCCCTCTTTGGGTCCCAAATGGGGTGCCCTCAGCCCTTGGGTCCGCCCACGGTGGGGGAGGGCCCAGTGCGAACCTTTGCACAGAGGGGCCCCCACCACTTCCACGTCCGTGTCCCTCCCCTTGGGGCACGACCCCCGCCAGCCAGGTCAGCCTCATGGGCCTCAGCCGGACACTGGCGATGTGGAGCCGGTAGGGCTGCGGTTCTCACTCAGCCTTGGTTTCCCCTGCTGCACCTCGAGGAGAGGAGCACCTGGAGGCTGTCGGGCGCCGGAAGCCGGGCACTGCCCTTCCGTGGGCTGAGGCCTAGACTCACTTTCTAATGGTGGGAAGAGCAGTGGGGGAGGGGCGGGAGCTGGGGGGCGTAGGGAGAAGGGAGGTGGCTAGCCCAGGCTCGAGGCCCAGAAACTGCCCCTTAAGGGGGGCCAGGGTGGACCGCTGCCACTGGAGGGTCACCTTGGGGGTCCCCTCCAGCAAGGGGCAGGCCTTGTCGGGCGGCAGGCCGGTTCTGAGACCAGAGCCCCGCGAGGCCCTGGCACGTTTTGGGCTCCCGTGGGCCCCCAGTGAAGCTCCTTTGGAAACTCCAGCCCAGAGAGACCCTCCCCACACCCAGCTCCTTCCTCAAGCTGCTGAACTTCTGCTCCCCCGGCGACGGGCCCCCACTTCGACGTCTCCCACTGCACCCAAAGACTAAACCCCCACCTTCAGCAAACCTGTATTAGGGTCCTTTGGCCAGGCCCTGGGCTGGGCGTGGGGACAAGTAGGGGGCAAGAACCACCTTCATCTCCAGACTCCCCAAACCAGCCCGAGGGGGGATGCCAGCACCCCAGCAGCCCCAGTGTGACATCTCTCTTCCCTCACCCCCGCTGTCTCCTCCCAGCTCACACCATGGCAAGGCCAAGCACCCTTCTTGCTCCGCAGCTGGCCTCCACTGGCCTCTGTGCCTCTGCCTCACAGCCCCTGGACATCCAGGGCCCGGAGGAGCCCCGCAATCCTGCCTGCTCAGCCTCGAGCCCCGCACCACCACGGCTGTGCCCCCGGGCTCCAGCCCCCCTCGGGCTCACACCACTATTCCCACCTTCCTGTCTTTGGCCTCTGTGACACTTCCTTTTGACATGACACCTGCCCCACCCCACCCCGGAGCACACACCAGGCACATTCTCTAGTGCTGAAGGCCCGTCCCGTCTCTGCTTCCTTCTCAATCCAGCCGTCCAAGTCATCCACCTAGGTCAGCTTCCTCGCCCCCCTTCTGGTGCCCCATGTTCAGAAACCCCGTGACTAGGCAGGGTGGCTTTTCCAGTGGCCAGGCCTGGCCCCTGTCTGTATGAACCAAGCATCAAAAACTTGCATGACAAACCCCGTGAGGTACAGAGGTTTTCAGTAATGAAGTTTACTGAGGATGACGGAGAGGAGGGGTAACGCGTGAGTGGCCAGTGTCCGGCGGCCATGCGAGCAGTACGCGGGCAACAGGTTCTCTCTTCGTCTGCCGGTCGGAGGTGCCTTCCTGGCTGGCTGTGTGTCACCCGCAGCCAGCACCGCCCTCGTGAGGGCGGCGCCCCGCCTGGAGCCTGTTCACTTTGGGACTGGACAGCCTTCCTGCCCGCGCCTCCCAGCCCCGCCCGCTTCGTGCTGGATGTGCCACGGCTGTAGGCTGCTTCACCTCTTGGCACGGCAGCTGCCCGTGGCTGCTCTGACTGTGTCTCTCGCTTTGCTGATAAGCACAAGTGCGTATCTCCCCAGGGCAAGAAAACGTTCGTGATAACTCATTTTCTGGTCAAGTTCAGTCTACTGTTCCGAGCTACACAGCACAGAGAGAACAGCACATCGTGCAGCCACCTTCTCTTGGACTTTGTAGGCATAAGGGCATCGTCCTCTACCTTGACCCGCTCGGTGGTGGGCACGTGCTGTCTTCCACACACTGGCGCGCCCCACGCTCCAGAAGGCAGCTGTGCTCACCACTGCCCTTCCTGCGCACAGATCGCCCCTGGGGATGCCCACCCCGCCCTGGCAGGAGCCAAGCAGCCTGGAGCGTGCCCTGATTGGGAGAGCCTGTAGGTGTTACAAAGCAATGAGCTGGAGACCCCCCAGAGGAGACACTGCAAGACACCACTCCAGGGGGTGGAGGGCCCCCAAGGGCCACGGGCCAGGGAGTGGGGGTGGAGTGCAGACACCTGCCCCATCCCTGCGGCCCTCAGTGCTTTCAAATGAAGGCAGTACGATGAGTGGGCCTTGCACCAAAGACATGATTCTAGGTCAAGGGCTGACCATGGACCACAGCCACAGACCATCATGGGTCACAGCCCAGAACCCTGAACTCAGCTGGTATCTGATATGAGTCAGCCCAAGGCAGCAACTCAGCATCGTTCTGGAGAACCAACCTTGTGCCAGTCCATAGTGACTCGCTCCCTGGTTGCTGCCACACCCAGCCAGGGGCTCCAGAAGGACCCTTGGGTCACAGAGACCCCTGGGCCATCTCGTCAATCTCAGCTGGGGTCCCAGCTGAGCATTGGAAAGCAGCTGAGGTGGAAAAGTGGGGTCAAGACTCCTGTGGGCCCGAGTCTGGGCTGGGACACCCCACCAGCCACCCTGCCACTCCTTCCGGAGGCTGGAAAAGCCCCTGGGGAGGGGTTCTTGGGAAACTTCCAGGATGTCAGGGAGTGAGCAGCACTGGTGTGGTGTGGGAGCCGGTGCCGTGGGCACTCAGCCACCTCCAGAAGCCCGGGAAGAACTGATGCAATATCAGTGTTGGGGTTCTGGCCTCCGTGGCCTCAAGGCTTCTGAGACTTCAAATCACATCAGGTCAAGGCGGCAGTCGGGGCTGGCCCTGAGCCCCAGACAGCATCGATGGGCTAGGAGAGAGGCTGATGGGGGCCCAGCAGGCTACATGTGTATTTGTCCTCATATCCTGGAAAGGAACAGAGTGGGGGGCTGAGAAGGGGCTGAGCTGGCAGAGGGGCCAGGGGGTCCCAGCTGCAGTGATGGGGGAGGAGAGGATGAGGGCGCAGGGAAGAAAGTCGCCCCTCCGTAGAGGACCAGACACTCTTAACACTCATTCTCATGTGTCCTTTCTCCTCCTGATCCATCAGAGTCTTTACTGCACCCCAGGGCCCCCACCACCCACCAGCCTGCCCAGCCCGGTAGGAGTCTCCCACTGACTCCTATGGGAAGGGAAGTGAAAGTCTTATCAGCACTGTCTCTCAGTGAGCCCCGACTCACACGGAAGGAAATACCTGACTATGCACATGGGCTGGTGTTGTCAGGAGTGAACTCTCCGTGCCCCAGACCGGATCAAGAGGCATCCTGGCCTGGAGCAGCGTGCGTGGCTCCAGCTGGCTGTGGCTCCAGGACCAGGGGCCAGCGGCCAGCCCCGCCTTGGACCCCGTCAGGAGATCCACCCTCCTCGGTTCTGAGAGCTGAAACTGCCAATGGCCCCTCCCGAGCCAGAGGCCGAGTGTGCTCATTACTGAGGTGGGGACCCCGCTCTCAGGCCGCTCGGCTCCACCTGCACCTCCTCGCACAGTGAGTCTGGTCCTCGTCAGACAGAGCCTGCCTCCCAGGCCCGCTCCCGCACCCCCACAGGAAACTGGCTCATGTGCCTCTGAAGGCCTGCTGGAGTTTCTCAGGGGCCGGGGGCCTGAGGCTTCCTTCCAGGGTACAGAGTACCCTGAGGGCTGGGGAGGTGAGGTCTCAGGCGCAAAACCCCACATGCACACACTTTTCCCCATCGCTCCACAACTCCTGTCAGAGCTAGAAGTCAGACCCTGCATCACACGCAGAACAGGCGGGATCTGAATTGCCCCTTCTCAGCCTGAAGAGTGAAGGTGAGCACGGGCCCAAGAGGCCCCTGGGCAGGCCCCCGTACGCTGCACCAGCAGCGGGAGCCTGAGACTCACCGTTGGTTCACCCACCTGGTTTGACCCGGCAGGGTGGGGTCAAAGTGCCTTTACCTGCGCCAACCACCTGGTGGTCAGATCCCAAGCCTTGCAGCGCCCGCCACCAGGGGGCATCGTGAGCTCGGCTCCACCACCCCACAGGCATGCAGGCGACACCCCATCCCTGAGCGTCCCAGATTGTGCTAGGATGTCCTGTAAACACGGAAGACCTGGCAGGGAGCCCCTCTCCCCCTTCCCTGAAGCCCTGAAGGTGCTGGAAAGTCACCTGGGCTTGAAAGGCCACCAGGAC